TCGCAGGTGCTTTTGATGATAAGAAACTGGAAATTGCAGATACATTTAAGTATTATAACATATTTTTTTATTCTTCTTTATTAGGGTTTTAGGTGTGTTACTCGCATTCGATATGAATATTTGAAACCTTAACAGATTTGTTAATAATTAGTAGTCTCTTCTATTTTGAACCTGTTCAAAAAACAAGTTTCTTTGTTTTCATAACATTGAAATTAATTAATTTGGGTACTTTTTTAAAAATCAGTATGTTGTTGAATTTCATGAAGTGAAGTGGAAAATACTAACGCTACTTAAAAATGTTGAGAAATTATATAAAATTTATTTTTGCACTTCTTCTTCTTGTAAGTCTCTTGGGCGTTATTAGTGCTCAAGCCAAAGATATACTGTTGGATAAGGAAAACTTTTCATGTGGAGAGAACGAAGAGTATGCAAGGTGTAGCACTGCTTGTCCAGATAAATGTAATACTCCTCCAGCCCGTTTTTGCACTGAGCAATGCTTAATTGGATGCGCTTGTAAGGAAGGGTTCCTTCGTAATGACAATGGTAAATGCGTTTCACCATCCCAATGCTAAGAAGAGTCAGACGACAGTCAAACTTAAATTAAGTTTAAAAACTCAAACAAAAATATTAAGAATAATTTCCGAAATATGTTAATCATTTTTTCTTAAATTATTTGAAGTGTATTTATAATATAATATTATTATTAATAGTCGTTACTGGACTATTAAACTTTTTAATTGTAATAGTAAAGATCCTTCATAATAAATATATATACATAAAACGAATACAAAAATTTACTGGTTTCTACTAAAAAAAAGATTTTTAGTTTGTATTGTTAGTTCTGCCATGAATTGTTCAATAAAAGAATTAAATTTTATTGAATTTTACTGAATTTACATTATATTAAAATATAGTAGAGAATAATTTTTGCATTAAAAGTCTTAATTAATTACCACTCTGAACGTTTAATTTTATAGAAACTAAAAAATGGAAAGTGCTACTTGACAGCTCATTGTTCATTGACCACAAAGTGCTTCTTTACACTATTTTATTAATGGATCTAAAGTCAAATTATGTGAAATACAGTTAATTCATAGCTAAATTAAAACTACATTATTATGAGTATAATTAAAAAAACAACAGTTTGAACTATAAATTAAAAGTATTTTTGGTAAGAATATAAAATTACAATAGCGAAACAAACTGATAATTAAAAGAAAAAAATGTGAAGATAGTTTTTGTCAACTTAAAAAGTAGTTAAAAATAATAGAAACGAATCCAAAAAAGGAAAGGAGATCTATTAACAGAACTGCTGGGTCAAAACTGGTTTGTAAAATTTTCGTTTCGACAATTTTGTATTTAAAATGCACAACCACTAATAATCTGGAACATTACTGAAAGCTGAAGAAGTCACAATTAAGGCACTAATATAAACCGGCGAATAACAGCTCAGGAGATCGGTGAGAGAGTACGTCTTATTATTTGGTTTAATCTGAAAGTTTGTCGTATAGGTTTTTTATGCTTTTACTGAAAAAATTTGTGCCGTTGCTCAGCCAAATGTCAAATGTCAAGTAAAAATTATCAATTCTTGAAACGTATAATGACTGTGGACGTGAACAAAAAATGAGTTGTTCATTACAACAAGAGACCATGACCTGAAAGCATTCGCATATATCCATAGATTAAACGTATGTGGTTTTATTTTCAAAAGTGTATGTATTTATATTAATATTATATTTATTGTTGGAAAAATCATAGATTTGTTTCGCATACTACCCCATATCGATCATCAATGGGGTTTAGAAACATCTCCTGGTGTAATTGGACATATATCTCCTCGTAGTATATATAAATTTAAATTAGTAAAATAAAACTGTACACAGAAACAGAATAATAAAAAAAAACTCATATAGTTCTAGAGCTACAATATTTAATATTAATGATAACATGTATGTACCCAAAAAATCTCCTTAAGATTTTAGAGCAGGGTTTCTCAAATACCGGGTTGCGGGCAGTACATACCATTACGATCACGTTTTTTTAAATATTGTATTTTTATCCTTAACGATATATAACTTTTTTGGACATTTGTACAAGTACTTACAAAACAGAATACATTTTTATTCTATTCGTAATACGTATTGGGTTGACAGACACTGTGAGATTATAGTTGTGACCTATTTTAATCAGATTGCAGAAACTTAAGGAAAAAGCGAAAACAGCACAAAATTGTTAGATAGATTAACTTTAATAATTACTCTCAGAGGCAGTTTCTTAAAAACTTAAAATAAATTATGGGTAGTATAAATTTACGTGACATTGCAGTTAAAGTTATAGTATTATAGTCATATCGTAAGAGTGATATTTAACTGTATGGATCTCAATATTGGTAAATATGTAACAAATATTGGCAATAATACGATTACTATGACCGGCAGTAATACATAAAATAGTTATGATTCAAACAGACCTCCTCTTTAAAATAGCATATCAGATTACGATAAAAATAAAGGAACAGATATAGTTCAGTGATAATGGCGAAAATGATAACGACATCAATGATTCTTTTCAAACTCCAGTTTTTTAAAAATGCTTAACCTCAATACCTGTTTCGATTATTTTGACATAAGGGAAGACATGTGATTTCTTCTCTATTTTATATGGTTTATTTTGAATTGATACTTCAAGAGCAATCCTCACATGTCAAATAATTTGCAACCTAACACAATTTCTATGCATTCTTTCAAAAGTATTTTGTGGAAATAAAAACATCGATTTTGGGAAACAGAATTTTCAGAATATTCGGTGTTTGCACGATAGCGTTCACGATCGATAACATTTGATATTTCTGGTGCAAAGTTTTAATAACTCTTATCAAGCTACAGCTTGGTTTAAACAATATTTTGTCGTCTCGCAAAGAAAAGGATTTACTCATTTAAAAAAAAAATTGATTTTCCAATAAAAATTTCAAAATGTTGAAATCTGCTGTTACCAAAACTGCAGAGTATCCTAAAATTTTGATACGTATCCTTTGAGGAATAAAAGCTCATATGGGTGGTCAATAGTGTTGTCGTATAAACGTCAGACTAGAGATTTGTTAAGTGGTAGTATATGTTAAAATAAAAGTCATCACCAAGTTTTGATTAAAATCGAAATGTCCAGTATTATTTAATAAATTTTGAATATTTTCCAGATTTTTATCCCTTTTTAATAGGAGCTTAGCTTCAACATTTCAAACTAGTCTACTCGTTCATAGAAAAACTTATAAAAAACTTATTTAATTTTAAAAACAACTATATACATTTAATAAAGCATAAGAGTTCGTAGAATTTTGAAACAATGTTGGATTGGTACAAATATTTACAAATTTGATGAAAAAATTGAATGCAGTAAATGGAAACTAAAAATTGCTTCAAATTGAATTTATATGACTTCTTAGCCTAGTTAAAGTCTAGTGTGGGGTAGTGATAAGCCCCCAGCCATTAAAGAGTAAAAGTGCGTAATAGCACTAACTCAAGAACAGTAAGAAGAAGATAAAAAATTCATTTATATTTTATAAATTATATGTTCAAATTTTCACGAATTATCTATGTGGAGTTATTCAAAGTTGGTCTGGGAATGCTTTCAACTTCGCAGCACCCTAGCATCGAGGAACTATGTTAATCTTATGTGGGTACCGGAACACGAAGAGCATGAAGGCAATGAAATAGCAGACTCCCTAACAAAGAAAGGTGCATGTACTCCTTTCATTAGTTCAGAGCCCTTCTGCGGGGTATCAAATAGCTTCACAAATAGCTTATTATGTGAACGGGAGAAACAACATCTACTTGAACACTGGAGAGCTCAAACATGCATGGGACAGTCAAAAAGATTCATGATTGCTGATCACATCAAAGTTGATGCTATCCTTGGCCTTAGCAGAAACGATATTAAAATCTACACTGAACTTCTTACAGGACACTGTAGACAAGACGTAAATTCGATTATCTTCAAAGCGGGATCTTAGTCCCAAATCAAATAGGTAAAATTAAGTCCACAGCAATTACAAGATTTATAAATAGTCTAAAATTATCCTAGTTGGGTCTTTAAGCGCACAATAGATCTTTTAGATCGGGGTGCTTTAATAGCCTATTACTTAAATAATAATAATGTGGAGTTATAATTTTTTTGATGCAAATCTGTGATTTTAAAATAAAACATATTCTAAATTTATTATCTCAGGTATGTTTAAAGAAACACTGTATTTCGTAGACTTGATCTTTTCAAAAAGGCATTAAACCCTTATGTTAAGTAAACCAAAAAACCATAGGCATCGGTGTAAATATCTACGAATTTATTTTATTTATGTTTATACAATTTTTATTTAATTTTAATTGTTTAAATAAGAGCAAACCCGTCTCCATAAATTATTTAATAATTTTACTTTTGGTACATTTTACAGTTCATTGCATTTAAATTAAACAAAATCTTTTTTTATCTCAATCATTGTGTTTAATAAGAATTTTTCGTTTAATATTATTTATTTTTTGCTGACATCTGTGTTTGTTTTAATACCAGAGATCATTGGATTTTGCATTTTTAAATGGGAATCATTCTGTATAAAAATCCATATTTCTGTTGAATTTTGTAGAGTGGAGTCTCATAAGTTTTAATTCAAAAATGTTGTACGGAAAATTTTCTTTTGTGATCCTTTTGCTTGGTGCCTTTTTGGCAGTTAATGCACAAAATGGTATGTGAAACTTTTTTTAAAAAAAATATAAAGATAATTTTATTATTTATTAAAACATATGTTATATTTTAGAAGAATGTGGTCCAAATGAAGAATACACATGGTGTGGATCAGCTTGTCCAGAAACTTGCAACAGTGACCCAATGCGTATGTGTACCATGCAGTGTGTCATCGGATGTGTTTGTAAAGATGGCTTTGTAAAGGGAAACGATGGAAAGTGCATACCAAAATCGAGTTGTTAGGTATCAGCTGGATACTAACTTAACGTCTACACTGGCTAAACTTTTTTAAGCACGAATGCAAAAATTTGTATATTTTAGTGAAAAACTGGAAGAAAACTCAGCGTAGATGTAAAGAAATAAAATATTAACATTAAAGAAAAACTTCTATTTATATTTTGAAGTAAAATACATAATAAAAATATTATATGCAAGTAGTTAAAATATTTCAATTTGTATCCAAAGATTACATTTCTTTAGCATAAGATTTATATATACCTTCAGCTCAAAAAGTACCCGGATTGTGTAAATAAAACACACAAATTTGAATTTTATTCAAAATTTATTTTATCTTCTTCAAAATATGCTTCTTCTGAAGCGATACACATATGCCAACGCTTAACCCAATCTTCCATACACTTTTCGTAGGCCCGTCCAGGTATGGATTTTAGTTCCTTCAGCGAATTCTCTTTTACCGATTCAATCGACTCAAAACACTTACCACGAAGGGGCAATTTGAGTTTCGGGAACAGGAAAACGTCGCACAGCGCCAGATCTGGCGAACATGGTGCCTGAGCGATGACAGTGATGCCGTGTTTGGTCAAAAAATCGAGTAGAACAAGAATTTTTCATAGTAAAAATCGCTAAATGCACTTGAGGTAGTCTCACATTAACAGCTGCTGTAAACAAACTAATTGACAGATGGGGCTCAAATTTGTACCATATGTCAAGAACGGGTGTACTAACATAACAAAAAAAAGGTCTATTACTTAAAGAGTAGTCAACAAGCAACAAAATCCGGATACATTTTGAGCAGAAAGTATTATATGATTGTAAATAGTCTTGGGATATTTTGCCAAACTTCATTACTATAGATTGAATTTAGTAAACATTAAATGTTAAGTGATCAATTAAGTTGATAATTATTGTGGAAAATTACTAATTGTGTCAGTATTCATACTGCAACTCGATATCTGCAGGGCATTTAAATAAAACCATAAGGTATTCACTATTACAAGAAAGAAACTTGGTAAATAATAATAATCTAAACAGTTGCCTTAGATTATGATAAGCACTTCATCGTACTGATTTATATAATGAAACTGTCTGGACCTTTGTCTCCTCACGTAACACTTAATTAAAAACTTTAAGTTAATTTTAACTAACTTCACTTAATATGAACTTAAACGAACTATCTTAATAATTTTTATGGTATTTTTTAAATAATTATCTGTTGTAAATGTAAACAAAAGTACAGTGATATCACTATTTTAGACTAATAGCACATTCACACTGTCTCATTTAGGCACTTGCTCATTTATATTAATGAGTGAACGTTCACATTATAATGACCTCATTTATGCAGTTGACAAAATATTTATAAACTTATGGTAATTTTACTTTTAAGGTTTGCATTCGAATTTTTTCGCCATAAATGAGATAATTTATTGTTAATCAACTCATTAATATAAAGGCGCTTTGTATGGTAAATCATCCTCATTCGTGGCTATAATGAGTAAAACCACCTGAATGAGACAATGGGAATGTAATATAAATCTCAAATCTAGACATATGGATTTCCCATATTCTCAAGAACAGAAATTTGTGCCGACGCGTTCATGTTTGTGATTTGCTTTTCAATGTCAAAAAATATGATCCATTTTTAAAACGTGTTACGGTTTGGAACTACAAATGAGTTATCTGTAGCAATACTAAATTCATGATGAATTTACTCAAAGTTAATAGACCACACCTCATATTTCATATGGGCCATATAAAAATTCTATATTCATAAAAAAATCTAATTTAAGCTTATGCGATTTCAAAGGAATCGCATTTTCGAGCTTCTACTGAGTGGTATTTTTGGACAAATTCAATGATTCATTTATATAGATAAGACCACTAAAGTTGAATAGAAAATTAGAATGTTTCATTTTCAATTTTTGTAGCTCGTTAAAAGCTTTTAGAGTTTGAAGGGGTAAAATCCCACACAAACCATATTTTCCAGATTCTCAAAGATCTCATTATTACTTATTCCAGTTTCACTAAATTATTAAAGATGGTATAAATCTTGCTTCAAATGAAGAGATCAAAAATTAGTTGAAACAGTTCGATTTATTAACTGATTTATGTATTACCAGGAGATGTTCAAAAGTTGTCGGTTTGGAGTGGACAATATATGTGTCGGTAAAATGTTAATTTGATTTCAATAAACAAAATTATTTTTCCGATAATCTTATACAATATATAATTATTAAAGGCATTTCATCCCAGCAAATTTATGTTTTTTATCCAAAATATCAACAAGTAGCTCGTTTCAGAAAATTAAAGAGTAAGAACTTTTTATGATGAATGAACAATTATTTTGCAAAAAATTTTCCCAAATATTGGTATTCGAAAAACGATCAAAAAAAAATTCACAAAAATTTGAGATTCCTGCAAAAAGAATTAAATTTTTCGAAATAATTAACTATAATTATATTCGAAGCTTTCAAGCATCAATAATACAATCAATAAGATAAATTAAGCATCAAATAAAAGTATATTTAATGGAACTTAGTATGCAAAAGTTGCTATTTCAGTGAATCCATCGCAGATATCGGATATTCCCTAATAAGAGATACTTTCCCAAAATATAGTTCTTTTTTAGTTTGTATTCGTTTTTTTTGGTTGAATTTTTGCATTCATACACTTCTTGACTACACTTAGATGAAATATATTTAAAGAAGCGCTAGTCATATTGCTCGCTAATAGCATTAAAGGCTCTCTATTTAAGCACTTAATCTAAAAAATTATCTTGCCATTGTAGCTTTCTCATTGCAATTCGATATTGCTTTGATTGTATTTTTAATCTTGCCAAGTACAAGTAACAAAGTAATCTGTGTATTTCTCTTAAATCTATTCCATAAATGATTTTTTTGTTTTAATTTAAATCAAAAGTTGGATTTAAGTTTATTGTATTTAAGTATATACAAAATTAAAAAAAAAGCCAATTTGTGGAATCAAAATTGCTACTTATTATTTTGAAATTAATTATTGACGAAAAACTGTTTCTATAATGGATGACATAGAACCCATTAAGAAAGAATCTGAATTCGTTGTAGATGGAACTGAAGTTGAGGTATATACATATATATCTGTATATATATATATCATATATATATATCATATATATATCATATATATATCTATATGTATTGAATTATAAATCTACTAAAAAATGTTTACTTCAATGCAGGTTTTAAAGAGTGCAAATCAAAAGCAGCGCGAGAAACTCAATGATGAACTCGACTTCTATACCGATGTCGGACTTCAATTGCTAGATATTGAAGGTCGCTTGGATACGTTATTGGTTCTACTGCAAAACTTAGAAGATTAGTAAATGCCATTCCTCAAATGCATGAGTCGCTGACTCCAATATTACAAAATATTTATGTCGAAATTCTCGTGATCGATTTTTATTTATTCTTCAGACAAGAATTATATCAATGACAGCTGGAACCCTGATTTTATTTTTATATTTGGTAGTTCTTTATTGTAACTGATTGAGCTTATTAGCAATAAACTTGTTTAATTTAGAAAGAAAACATTATACTCCAATTATTGAAAGTTGGTCCCTTAGAGAAAAACCTTTAGAATAAGTTGTTTAAAAAATTTTTTTAATTCAGTCCGTTAAATAGACGGAATCTTCGAATATAATATCACGTTTTGTGCACATATTATTTGCACTTAAGCGTTACCTCTAAAATTTGAAGAAGTCCGATGTTTTTCATTTTCCGATGTAGTTCCATTTTCGAAATGTCAGAATCGCTGTCATGTATACTCATCACGAAATGTTTTGAATTTGAAAGTGTTTGAAAAGTATTTTATCTAATAAGCCCCGTCTTCTTCCGAAGTAAATTTCTAGCATCGGATCAGAGTGCCCGATTGCACGGACTAAAACTATCTTTATTCCTGGATACCTTGTCCTATTGCGGGACAACGTAGGTATAACTTCAAGGATCCATTATTAGTCATTTAACACTTTTATCGGTATGACCTGCATCCAGGTCCTGCTATTGCTTCAGGTGATTATACTTGGCATTGGTAGGTACTTGGACAAAAAGTTGCGTTATAGTAATGATAACAAAAATGTTAAATTGAAGGAAGTATATATAACATTCTTTATCTATTTAAGATAGATTGCTATAAAATTTATTTTAAATATTTTGAAGCGATTTAAATGCAGAAACTGATTGATCTTATTTAAAAAACGACAAATATAGTATCACATAGAAAAGATTTCTTGACTTACACGCAAATCTGCTGCGCTGATGACTGCCTTGTCTTCGTGGGGTTATCTAACCGTTTCCGCATCTCCAACGAGCTAAATGCCCACCTTAGGACCCTACTGAACTACTACACCAGGTGAAAGGTTAGGCTAAACCACAGCAAGATCTGTACCATAGCTCTTATAGGCCAAAGGCAAGGTTGCACTAGAGACTTCAGTGTCTCGCACATCAAGCTAACCAAGCTAAGGTACCTGGTTATTGTGTTATTCTCCCAGCACAACATCATTCCTCACGTGGATGCCATTAGCAACGAATTTCGTGACTTTCGAAGATACGACCAGTTAAACTGCTATAAACAGCTCATTCACCCCCTGTCCTCGTACACCTACTCCATTTGGTCTGCAATCCCTCGCCGCAGACCTCTTCCAAGCGTTGCGCTACAAACCCTTTCAGTATGGAAGGGTGGGATTCTGATGCTATTCTGATACTATTATTCGCCTTTCCAACCACGGCTATCGTGACTCTGGCCACAGAGTCCATCACATAACCCCGCCTTCATCACTTCACACATTCTATCAGCGCATCCCTCATGCTTTTTGGCTTAGATAAATCTAGTCCGCTAGACATTAAGCCTCTTGGTCACATCTTCTCCACTGATTACTTGAATAAAGTTTTTATATTGCTGTGGAAATTTTTAACATTCATTGCAAAGAGCTGGTTTTAGTTAGTTCAAGGGCCCACACCGTGGCTTTCGATGCTTCACATATTCTGCCAAAGTAGAGACTTCTATATATAATACATCATA